AAAAAAAAGATATTTGCATGGAATCTATGAGATATTGGCGAACGTTCCCTCAGAAACCTAGGCAGTGACAAATGCCTTTTGCAAAAAGACAGATTACGGTAGCTTTAGCCGCAAAATTGTTTGTCTTCCTGTCTGACGCAAGAAATTGTTGAAATAGCTCATCAAAATATTTGGGAAATGATAGTTTATTCCTATCAACTAGAAAACAACAGCAATCACACTGAAACTGATACTTTGTGCAATTCCGGAAATCGGAAATCGGAAGCTGTGCCACAGACATTCGTGCAGAGCTTGGGGTCTCGTGTGCAATAAAAAAAAAAGCACGACGGAAAAGCATGCAGCTCATCGGTACTCTTGGAACAAGCTCATGTTACGGCTCTCATTACATCCTTGCGTGCGGTTGTGAAGCGTTCACCCTGACATATAACAACAATCAATAAACTGGAGAGCGTGCTTTTTGAGAAATCCCTCTAACGAATGAATACAGAGCCCAGACTGAATGCCGTTGATTCGCTTGGAGTATTTTTAAGTTTGGTTTTAAATTTTATGACATTTTTATGAGAGTTGTGTTCGAAGCTGTTAAATATACTACACAGGGCTGCACCAGCCGCACGCGAGCCGCACCGCACGAAGCAGTTGCAAGTGCACAAAGGACCATGAACATTGGAATGATGCATTGACTGTCATCACATAGCAAAACCACCATCTATTGACTAAGAACAACACAAAGCATTCCAGACAATGACGTCATGCAAATGTTTATCACAGCACATTTGATATGTACATTGAAAAGGAATAGATTGACATCACAATCTGGCATTCATCATATCACAGGTACGTATTCGATAACTTCATAGCCCAATTAATTAGGGACTAATTAGCGGCCACTTGGCTTTCAGGTAAGCATTTCACCCACGTTTCTTCATCCGCATGCTCCTTGGAGACGTCAATGGCTGAGTCAGCGATCGAATTATTGTCTTTATCCTCGAATTGCGGAATATACGTCACTCCACTTTTTATTAATTCGTCGATAAAGTACTCGAGAATTTCCTTTCCCTGAAAAGCAATTGTCAGAATTCCAGGACTGCCAAGTAGCATCTCAAGACTTAACAGCTTTTAGTTTTCTGAAACGAAGGACTTTTCCAAAGTGTCCCCCAGAAAATCTCGTAAATATGGGTCCGGTATCTTCTCCCCAAAAATGGCGTCGCGTCGTCGCACCCGATCGCGCGCAGTCGCGCGCTTTGAAGGGAAATGAATTCCCAGTGCAAGGATGGGCAGCCGCCGCGTGACTTTTGCCGCTTGCCGTTGGAATTGGGGGAGAAGTTCCGGCACCCAGGGCGAAACACACCCGAGCAAAATCACAATACTTTACCTCGGGTATCTTAACCTTTACTTTTTCAGATAGTTACCCGAGAAATCATGAAAGCAGTCTTCTTCGCAAATTTATGTAGCCTGAACTGATTCTTTTACTGGAAAGTTACGCTCAGTCGGTAAGATCTAGCTAGAACCAATTTCAGCGCAAAAACTATCTTGAATAGCATCAGAAGGTAACCGGCAATGTTGATTTCGTTGGCTTGCTCAGAGCAATCCTTGTAACTACCTAACTTTCCTTGAAATTTCATAGACACAGCTACTTCCCGATTTTGTAGGGAACCAGAAGCCTACTGGATACACTGATGAATTGCAAGTCTACTAATTGCACAACAATCAAACGCAATGCAATTAGTACACAATAGAAATTAAAATTACATGTAGCCCCAACGCCTTTAGGGTAAAAAACGCTAGTGAAGTGAGGAGCGACGTTTGTGATTGGTGTTTGCTGATAATCCACCAATCACGAACGTGCCAAGCGCGTTACGTGCCCTTTTACGCCTTGTCAACGGCCTACGGTAGGCTCTATAAATCAATGCGACCGGAGTCAATCACTTTGAGGATTTCAAGCGGAAATTTTAATAAACGATTATTTTTGATGGTTATTGATTTTTTTCATCGGAAGAGCGCATTTCTTCAAATTCCCCGCATTAACGTGTTGCTTTGACGAAAACGAAGAAATTCCCAGCTCACCTTAGCTAAATTAGCCGCATATTGTTTGACGGCAAGTTTTTCAACGGCCGTCTCGAAGCCGAAAAACGATTTTACATCTAAAGCCGCATTCTGCTCGAAACACGTCCAATTAGGGTTCTCAGGATGAACCTAGAAAATCAATAAGCAGATCGATCAACAAAAACCGTCGACATCCATCAACCTTAAGCAAACAAACACTTCCACTATCATTCTCCCC